CCATCACCTTCTTCCTCTTCCTCCTCCTCCTCCCCACCTTCTTCCTCTTCCTCGTCTACCTCATTGTCAGCCTCCTGTTCCCCATTTTCCTCGTTCTCCTCGACAGAAAACACACCAGGTCATTAACCCACAAGGCAAGTTGTCCACCCCTAGGCACCCCTTCTTTTCCATTCTTCCCGAATCTAGCTCAGGTCACTAAGAGACCTTCCACCAACAACCCCAAAGATCCAATAGGAGCCTTTAATATCCTAGGAATTGGCCAAAGACAGTTCAACACCAATGGAAGGAACCCCTAGGAGTCCTGAACAAGGAGGGCACTCACAGCGTTCCCATTAGCGGGTGCGTCTCTTCCATTTTCTGTTTCCTCCACAACCTCCTTCTTCTCCTTCAAGTCCTTCAAAAGGGAAGAAAAAACCAGTAAGTGTTTAACAACACGGAAAAGGGACCAACTTGTATGTCTGAGGACGCTGCGAGCTACCAACAAGTGGACCTAGTGGAAGGAGGCCTGAGCAGGGGGCCAGACCACTGCAGAGGTGTTAAGCCCACGTCTGGTGCCTGGACTCCGCCCAATTCCTTAGGCCTAAATACACCGAAATAATAGCCCCAAAGCAGCTACACACGCATTGCAAACTCTCTCCTGCTTCTTAGAAAAAAGAGCCATCCATGTGGCAGGCACCACAGTCCTAAACCCGTCTGGCCAGGCAGACGAGCCCGGGAACACTTCGCTCTCACACACCCATAGCTAACTTGTTTCTTACAAGCGGAAGCTCCGCCCTCCCACAAGCCCGTCCATAAATAAATAAGGCGATGGAGGGAGAGCCCTGGCGCTGCGGAGAAATCCCCTGGGTGGACTCGCCTGGGAAGGAGATGGGAGGGACTAGCAGGCTGGAAGGCCAACGAGGACTGCCAGAACCCGCGGCAGTCCAAGATTTGCAAGTAGTGCCACATCCCGCCAGCGCCCACATTAGATCGCTGTCCCTGGACACCGCAAGCCGTTGCCTGGCAAAAGGTGCGGGCGCCCCACAGCCTTTGGCTTCCCAGTGCCCAGTGTGGCGCCGCCCCGAGCTCACACCGTCCATCTCACTACGCGCCTCTTTCATTCCCCACCTGCTCGGCCCCAGAGTAGCGCCACCCTAGTCACCCCGTAACTTTTTCCACCAGCACTACTGAAAGCGGCCAGACACCAGGAAACCACGTGGGGCCAAAGACTCGGGAGCCTGTCGGGTCCGATTGCGGAGTCCGAGCTGCGCACTCCCGCCCCCTGGTGGCTGAAGTCCCGAGGAGCGGTGGGGGCGGGGAAGCTGCGATGCGCAGGCGCGTGAGCCCTGCCCGGCGGGCTTTGCGCGCGGATCTTGGTACGCACCGCGCGCGCGGAGCACATGGTACAAGGCTGCCGAAGGCGCCACGACCCCGCGGAGACCCCAGACAGGCGGGCCAGGCCGCGCCTGCACCGCTGAGCCCGCGCGCGCGCCAAACTCCCCGCCTCGTGGCGCCCCCTACCGCCCCCGCCCGTCGCAGACTACCCCTGCATTTGGCGCGCAAAGTAACGCGGGTGGCGCCCTGAAGCCCGCGACACTCAGTCCACAGTCCCCAAGGCTCTTTCGGTGCCGCTCCCGGGAAACCACCTCGTAGGGCACCGAACGCCGAGGCCCGATCCGCCTTCCACGCTGGTTCACGGCTGGACCCAGAGGGAGCCAAGAGAGCCCCTCGCGGGGATCGGGGCCGCGGGTTGTACGCCGCCGGAGGAGTCCCCGGGGGGGACTGCGGGAGGTGACGCCAGGAGCAGTAGGGTTAATAGAACGCCAAGGTGACTCGCGATCATGTCCGCAGGGGCGCAGACAAGGGCCGAAGGGGAGCAAAGCCGATTAGCCTCCGGGCGCTACTCTCCTGTGGGAGCCCCAAACGCGAAGCGGGGCACGGTACCATCTCTGGCGCCGTCACTGCAGCTTTTGTTCGTCCCCCGACTCCCCGGAACGGGGACTCGCGGCGCTGGCGGGCAGCCGCGGGGGGCGCCCATCGTCACCCCGGATCCTCTACTTTCCGTTTCCTCCCCCTCTGGCGCGTGGGCTCGCTGCCGCCTCCGCGGGCCGCGTGCCGCCGGTGAATTATTGCGGGCGGCGGCGGCCCCCGCGCGCTCCCACACCGCCAGGCCCTTCGCACCTCCGCGGCCGCCAGACCTGGCCCCGTCAGGCAGGGCGCGAGACGGGCGCCGGCACCTAACAAAGGGCAGTGCCGCCGGGGATGCCGCCGAAGGCGCCCCCAGAATACCCCTACCAGCCGCCGGCCCCCGCCTACCGCACTTCCGACTCCGACCCGCTCGAGTTTCAAAGTTGCTCCAGTGCGCCCGACAGACCAGCCCGACCCGCTCCCCCCGCCGCGCACACCAGACGCAAACAAGTTCGAGAACCGAGCAGCCAGCCCCGACCTCCTCGCCCGCGCGCTGGCCCTCGGCACGCGCCCCGACGGCGCACGACTGCCCGAGTGCTGCTCGCTCCTTCCCGGACCCGCGCACACAAAGAAGGGACAGGCCGAAGGCCTGGAGCCGGAGCGGCTGGCTCTCGGCGGGAGGGGCAGTAGAGGGCCCCCCGGGCGGTTCGCCCGCCGCGCGCCCAACCTCGCTCCAGCGGCGGCGCGCGGACCCCGAGGGGGCGGGCAGCAAACAGTCTCTCACCTTGGTGGTGATCTCGGAGCTGGTGTCCACAGCCGCGTCTGACATGATGGGGCACGCCGGTGATCCGATAGAGAGAATGACAAAGAATGCAAGAGTTTGGGGACTCTGGCGAGAGAGGTGCCGGAGTCCGCAGCGGCGGAGAAGAAGGAGCGCGGCGGAGGTGGCTGCGGGGAGCAGAGAGCCGGTCCTGGGAACAATGCAAAGATGGCTTTTCAGAGCAGCCAGTGGGGGACTCACGCGGCGCCAGAACCTTTAATATAGATTAGTGGGCGGCGCTCAACCTCCCTTGCGCGAGTACTATTGGCTGGGCGCAGGGAGCGGGCGTTCGCTCATTGGCTTGACTCCGAACAATGGGCAAGCGTGCTTAAAGCGGTAGTGCTTCGGCGTGGTCTGCGCTGCGCAGTCGCCGGCCACACTGTCTTTCAGCCTCAGAGTTTGCTAGGTCTCCGCGGCGTTGAGGCTGCGGGGGAGGTGCGCGAGGGCGCGCTCCTGCCGCGCGCTCCCGCGCTGTTTTGCTAGGGCTGCTGACGCAGAGACCCAAAGCGCGGCAAAGCTGCCCGCCCCGCCCCGCCCCCAGCTGCTCGGAAGGAGGGGGAAGGCCAGGGGGGTGCTGCGGGCGCACGACGGCTGCCAGCGGGGGGAGGGGAAGGACCGGGTGCTGGGCTGCGCTGGTCCCGGGCGGCGCCCCTCCCGATCCGCGGACTTGCCCGCCCACCGCGCCAGGACACCTTCCACCAAAAAACTGTCCCAGGGCAAGTAGGCGGAAGCCCCACGACGATTGGCGAGGTCGCGAGGCCGAGGCCAGCGCATCTGGGCCTCCCCGTCCTTTCCCACCATCCGGGTGCGCCGAGTCCCCGGGGAAGTTCACTCCAGTTGCCCACCACTGCCCCAGCATCCGCCTCTTGAACCCTTCGACGAGCGGGCACCGGGCCAAGCACACAGACATTCATGTCCCATTATGGGGGAAGGGAAACTTCGAGGGCTGGTGTGGGCTCCTGCCTTCGAGCAGGGCAGCTCGGGTTCCTCGCGTGGAGTAGCGGTGTCCGCACCTTTGGACCTTGGGCAGCCTCGACCCAGGAGTTCAGTGCCGTCGTGACAGCCTCCTTCCAAGGCTGCACCCGGTTATAAAATAACCCACCCCACTTCGGGGCTGCGAGGGTCACTTGAGCTATAGTGTGAGGTTATCGGAGGAAACACTCATCACTTTCACTCGTTGGACGAGTCCTTCGAAGGCACCTTGAAATCTGGGACGCCATTTCAAGAACCACGCGGACCCCCGAGATGGGGGCCATCGAGATGCCACACTCAACATGGCGCCGGACTCTGCAAACGTGCAGTGACGTGGCGCTCAAACCCATGCAGAGTACCTAAAAACCGTAGCTTACACTATCCTTATCGACACCGCGCTTGGTTGTCTAACAATGAAACAAACCGTGTGGGAAGAAAGATAAGAATTAGTGGGAAGAGAGCCCGATAAAATACTTCATGCCACACACAAGATGGCAGCAGATCGCGTTCGTCTCTGTCTTGCCAGAAGGGGGCGCCCGACACGGAAGGCGGGACTCCGGAGAAACGAGCGCTCACTGGCTGAGAGTGGCGGGCGAACACAAAGTTGACGCTTTGCGTCCTACTATTGGCAGGTCCAGCTGTCTCTCTCTTGGGGCCACCGATCTGGGAATCGAGAAAACCCGGAGTCTGGGATTGTAGGAAGAGGACGGATACCCAGGCCAGTGAGGCTTGGAGGCAGGGACGAAAGAAGAAACTGAGTCACCCTTCTTGGGTGGTCCGGGCGAGCTGGCCCCATTCTCACTGCGAAGCTCCTTTGCTGGGCTTACCAAGTCCTCTCCCATCTCCCACGGAGTCCGGGGGCCCCCGGGTCTGATCCCCTCCCGCTCTTTCTGCCCCGCACGCGCCAGGCCCGCATCCTCGTCACATCTACCAATCTAGCCGCTGTGGAGGCTCTCCCGAGCGGCTCCCAGTCCTTTGGCCAGAAGAAATGTGAAGCAGGTGCTAGACAGAGCGGGGGCGCCGCGCCACCTCCCGCCGCCCGAAGGTCCCCATCCTGTCCTGGATGCGGGGCTGTGGAGGGAAGGGGCACCCGCCGGTCCCAGGCTTGCCCGCGCGGGAGGAGGCGCCCCAATGGCAGGAGGTGGGCTCCCCAGGGTGAGCGCGCGCCGGTCCGAGGGACTCACAGTGATGTCCCTGAGGACCACGCGCTCCAACTCTTTGTTCGGTCCCCTCCTCCCTCCTGCCCATGAGCCGCCTTCGTTGGGGCCGCCCTCCGCCCAGACGAGGAGAAGGGGCACCCAGGCCACCGCGACCCCCTCCTTTTGGTCACATCCTCAGTGGTGGGTGGTCTCTGCGGCACAGCGCGGTAAATCCGGCCCGGCCAGAGCGCCTTTTGCCTGAGGGGCTTGTTAAATTCTGATTCCCCTCGAGGGGGATCATTCAGTTCGCAAAACCCGGATCCAGTAAACTCAGTCTGCGCTTCATCCAGACGGACTGAGTCTTCTTCCCAGTCTGGAAGTCAACTACCTTTGTCTCCACATCTGAAAAATGGACCTGATCTTCTGGATTCTTCCAGAATGGGGCGGGGGAGGCCAAACAACCCGGAGGAGTTAGCTGGGTGTGAATTTCCCTCGAACAACTGCTTTGCCTGATCTGGTTCCCAGACAGCTGGCTCTGTGAGAGTGTGGGGGAGGGGAAGACCCATCCATGCCCACCTGGTTCTGGAATCACCCCTTACATCCAGCAAGCACTCACATGAGCGTCTGCTGTCTGTATACAAGGCAGTGAGCCTCTACTTGAAACAGTTTCGTTTATTCTCTCTACCTTACAAAGTGGATAAGACAATTACTGCTTGAGTCTTGTGAAATTGATGGTCATAAGAAAATTGTAGTCATATAAAATTGTAGGTCAAAGCCAATTGAATATCAGCAAATGTGTCGGTTTAACCCATAATATGCTATAACATCTTCCCTTTCAACACGGCAAAAAGGCAGACCAAGGGACTTGGAGTTAAAATCCTAGCATCAAGGAATCTGTGTTGTTAGAGAAGACTGGGAGTGGAGGTCTGCACCTTCTCATTCAGGAATCTGCTCTTAAGTGGTCCAATTGAGTCTGCCAGGAAGCGCTTCATTCCTCAGCGCCAAACAACTCCCTGTTTCCCTGGCTGTTTCTGAATTGAACTGTTCTTACCCTTACCGTCTCCTTTCATTTTTACTGTTTTTGCTGCTAATCTAGAGGCAAAGACCCCAAGATGGGCTGGTGTGCCCCTGGCTAGCCAGGCTGCCAGGCCTGGGTGTGTTCATAGCCAGAGGTGTGCTAGACTTAAATTATCACTGCCCTAAACTAGGGGCCCCAAAGAGCCCCTCCAGGCAAGTTTTGTTTTTTAAGGAATTTGCATCGGGCCACCTCTGGGCCTCCCACAAACTCTTCAGTTGGGCCATAGGCCTGTCCCTGCCTAGCTGAGTCACATTTATGTCACCTTATGTCTGACCCTGGGGGCATTTTAAGATTGCAGCTCCCTGCTTCTAAACTTCCAACTTATTCCTTATCGGTTAACTCACAATCCTGCTTGATTCCGAAAAGATCAGAAATCAAAAAACCCCAAATGCAGTGCCACTCAGTGAATTCGGACTCAGCGACCCTGTAGAACTGCTTCCCAGGGTTTCTGAGGCTGTAAAGCTTTATGGGAGCAGATGGCCGCATCTTTCTGCCACAGAGCAGTTGGTGGGTTCAAACTGCTGATTTTGTGGTTAGCAGCCTAATTCATAACTACACCGCCAAGACTCAAACTAGAAGGAAAATAAATGCTGGTTACCATTGTCTGGGTTCAAATCCCAGCTCTGCTACACCCTAGCTGTGTGCCGTTGAACGCGTGACTTCTTCACCAGTTACAAAGCAAAATGGGAACACCACTAACATTTCCAAGGTGGCTGTGGAAACTACTTCAGGAGTTCAAAGACATCAAGTACACAAAGCAATAGCGCCTGGCAACAGCCTAGCAAATCGGTGTTGTTTATGGGACCCCATTTTCCATCTGAACCAAAGTGGCTTGGTTTTATAGTGTGTCCAGGACTCTGGACCAAAGAAGGCAAGGTCTCCAGCAAATTCCTCCTGGAGAAAGGAAGGCATTGGCCTAGCTGAGTTTCCGAAAGCCCAAGGGGCTTGGCGCCTCACTCCCACCCCCAGCCTCAGAGGAATGAGAATCTGGGAGGCAGCTGGAGTGAAGTAGGCCCCCATAAATTCCTGCCTTCCCACCGGTTGGAAACTCAGGAGTTTCAGGCTGTGGTTTCCTTGTTCAGCCATAAGGACCTGGGGACCTGCCAGAGGCCTTCCAACTCTCCCTACTTGCTGTGCTGAGCCCTGGAGGGGTTGTGTAAAGCATAACCCCTTCCCAGGTCTGCTCCCTGGCCAGCAGGTCTGGACCTGCCAATCCTCCTAGGGAGTGGGGCCCCAGACACCCCAGGACGCTTCTATCCAGCCTGGAGAGGACCAGGGACCTGTCAGTTGACATTTGAGGCCTGTGGGTCCCTGATGCCGGACTAAGTTAGAAGCCTGGGGGCCGGCGGGGGCATGTGTGTGCAGCAGGCATGGATGGCTCAGAACTTCTTCAGTTCTCACCTCCCAGTGCCCCTTGGGTACCTCAGGACCCCCCTGCCTGCATGTCCCCTTCCTGGCCCCTCTTCCCTCATCCTCCATTAGTGCATCTATTTGCATAACTCTAGCTCCAGGGGTGTTTTGCTGAGGCTCTAGTTACTACTTACAGTTTGAGTGTGGGTGGGCCCAGCCTTGGGGTGGCTGGGCCCAGGGGCCAGTTAGGGAGGCAAGTGTGTGAGCACACACCTGGCCTCCCTCAGCAAAGCCTGTGACAGCATTTCTCCTGAATAAAGATTAAACACCTGTCTGTGACTGAAGAGCAAGCTCCACCACACCTGTCCCTTCCTCCCTGTTGAAGGAACCCTGCCCCATGAGGGACCCAACAAGACCAGGAACCGTGGCTGAGAGTCGCTGTGCCCTGGACCAAAAGCCCAGCCCAGTGAAGCTCCAAATTCAGGAGAGGCAGACTGTGTGTCATTCTGGAATTTAGTCTTCCCTTGTCTCTTCATCAGAGATGTGCCCAGGGTGACCTGTAAAACCCGCCAACATTTGCCTGGGACAGAGAATTTCCCAGAACACACAGTGCTGCAAACTCCCAGGAAAAGCAGGACG